TGTTTACATTTTTTGTTGTACTTAAAGGCTGTAAATTACGTCGTTGATGAAAGGTTCTTCTTCGCTCATGTAAAATACAGTTCAGACTTGGGGCCCCTGCAATTTAGCCCTGCTTGATGAGGCCTTTCTCCCCGCTAGACAAAACAAACGATAATGGCTGAAATAGAGGCATTAACCTCATACTTAGTAAAAAGCTGTACCAACACAGTCTGTGAGAGGCATCTCCCCTGCAGCACTCTGCCCCCCTGAGTCAGGACGAACACAAACAACTCTTCAGTCGACACCAAAGCATCTGATCACGTCTTCACTGAAATGTCTGCAAATAAAGTTTTACGTGCAAATATGAAGAGAAGACGCTCAAAATCCAATGATGCTCAACTTGTCAAAGGCTAAGGGCCTATCAGATTTACTGCTATGTCCACGCCAAGCTTGCTACAATAAAAAAAGATTGATTTACAGGCAGAACTTTGGTTGCACTTGCAGCAACTAGTCTTTTAAAGGTTTTTACACTGTTCTGTACAGTTCACTCCAAGACCACAGTCAGCACCAAGACACCAAGACCGGTTGTGTTGCTTCTAAACTACCCTGTGCGCACTTTACAGATAGGTGAGAAAGACATTTCAGATCAGACACCCATAGGGAATCAAACATGTAAACGTTTTACAAAAATAAAGTCTGCCCACCAGTTGTGAGCTCAACATACAGTAGAAATAGCTGGCCTTATAAAAATATAGTGATTTCTCTCAACAGTTTTAGGGACGTTCGCAGGAGTGCTGAGGTTTGAGGAAATGAGGTGGGTGAGGAGGCGTGGTTGGACTTCGGTGTGTCTGTGTGGGGGACGGGCTGATCAAGGATGGTTCAGAGGAAGGGACGTCCCCACAGTGAAGGACTGTCCCCTCAGTGCCGGCTGCAGCGACAGCGAGCTGTCCTTAGTGGATGTTGAGGTTTCTGAAGTAGTCGAATGTTGCCCCCAGGGCCCAGCTCGTCTCCACGTTGTTCACCTTCTTGGCGAGCTATTCAAAAGAGAGAGAAGAAGATCTCCATCAAAATCACAGTGCAACATGTTGAAGTCTTGTGAAACCCTAACACAATATTGTTTGTTGTGCAGTTTGTCACTGATTGTATTTCTTCGACGCCCACATTGACCCAGCATTGTTTTCCTCACCTGCAGCACAGTGTTGTCCTTGAAGCCAAATCCCTCCTTTAGCAGACAAGTGATATATGTCATATCCATGCAGAGGAAGGGGCTGATCACACGGTATTTGGTCATTTTGTTGCACACTGCAAACACAAGAAGCCACAGGTTTCAGATGTGACAATAACACAGGTTTCACAGACATCTGACAAAAAAAGGAGCATTTGTTGCATCATATAATAACAGTCACATTTATTTCTACCCTCTGTGCTACGTGATTAAAAAGACATTTCTGTTTTTGTTTTAGCTGAATAAACAGGGAGGTGTGAGGAGAGTGGGTCAGGACAAGGCTGCCGGTGGGCGGTGGTCTTAAACAGGTTGGTACACAGCATATGTGTCAGGCCGCAGGTGGTGTGTGGCTGTCAGGTGCCCTCCTGCCTGGGCCAGACAGACATCTTCAGCTCGCCTGCCAGCCTCAGCCAGACTCGCTCCTCGTGACCATGTGACAGTGTTCTCACAACCCAAACAGCCTTATATAACACATCAACACACTCTGTACTCTGCTCGCTATAAATCTGCTCCTACATGGACATTAAAGTCAAAACCTGAGCCTGATCAGCATGCCAGGTATCTTTTAGACATGTTAAAACATTTTATAGTCATGTTAACATATATTTACCCTGTAATAAAATACATTTGTCTTTTTATCCAACTCCATAACACATTTTAGCAAATAATCGGTTACATTTTATTGTTGTAATAAATTCTTTTTTGGCAGGATAAGCTGTGCCATTTTGGCGCCATTGTACCAAATGTTTTGGGCACAAACAAGCTGTTTAGAGCATAGACTGTTTGGGTGGTTGGATGACTGACTGATATATTTAACTTTTAAGATTGTCGGTTTCATACACAAGAATCGAGAACATAACATGCAACTCTTACCTTCCTTGGCTCTCTTCTTAAAATCCCTCACTTCAATCGCACCACCTCGACTGCCATCTGTGCAGAAAGAAAAACAAACATGCAATTTGAGTGCTGATTTTGTGCAAAGCATGATAATTAGTATGACAGACGGTGGCGCTGGAAGGTGACGCCTTGGTCTGTGCCCACTCACCAATGAGGCCAGACTCCACAGCCCTGTCGAAGTAGTAGGAGAAAGCGTAGAAGACGCTGCTGCCCTTCACCTCATATGGCTGATGCACTATTCCCTTGATGACTTTCATTACTTCATAGTAGCACAGTTTATATCCTGCGTAGCCTGAAAGACAAGATAGAAGATGTGGTTTTACTTGATGATCTCAATGAATCGTGGAGGAGACAGTCAGTTTAAGGTGCACTGAAGCAGCAATGGATGGAATGCAACTGGGAGAGGCCGGAGCTTGAGGTCAGCCACGGGTTGTAGCCGGGGGTTCGCCAGATAATATACCAGGGAAGCCCCAGAAGGACGAGTTTCCCACAGCCCCACGAGTATGGTTGGCACTGATGTGCCGGCAAAACCATGTGCTGACAAGAGCGACAGTTAGCACGGCTCTGTTGAGCTGACTATTTTTACCACATAATTGTGAGCGGTCCAGATCAAGCCACTCGTTACACAAAAAAAATAACAACTCAGGGACAAGCCCAGCATCTTTTGGCTACTTGACTGTGGTATGGGAGTGACTGCCTTATTTGTGAACTTAACTGACAGTTTTCTCTTGTTTAAATACAAGGTTGCCTGCAATATAATTGTTCAAGAGGGAAGAAGATGGAGACAGAGAGAGAGAGAGAGGATGACAAAACATGCGTTTGGCGCCAAGGTTACAGAAGCTCCAGCGGGAAAATGTTCTCGTGTGAGAATGTATTGTACTGTACTCTATTGTGTTCCACAGTTGAGAGAGGAATGCATGGATTGCTGGAACCGAGGCTCTGGGAAGGCAATCAAAACCTCAGAGGGCTTTTATCTTACCGTCTGGAATCCCGCTAACTTTGTAGGTACTTCCTCCAAAAGTCACATCTTCTCTGAACTTTTTCGGGAGGCAGGAACTGGTGAAGATTTTCCAGTCTAGACCTGGGAAAACAAAAAAGAAACTGTTCGTCATCTTCTACTGACTATTTTAAAATGGTGCAAACAGAGAGGCAATAAAAGGTACTAGAAACTCTACCATCAGCTCCTAGCGCTCCAAGAGTTGCCAGTCGAGCTGCATACAGTCCATTTCCAAGGTAACTGTGATGGTGACACACAATCATTGTAAGTTTGGGACAGAATGCTAATAAATTATAAATTTTTATGAGCAAACCTATCGAGAATAAAGCATCTTCTGTGGGTTGTTTACCTGTGTGTGTAGACCTGATATGTGTTGTTGAACAGGTTGAATCTGGCAATGTAACTGTTTGGTGCGGACTGGATCGTTTTCTGTTAGACAAACAAAATATGCTTAGTTGTGTTTTTTTGGTTTGAACGTTTTTTAAAGAGATGCATCAAATATGTTATTCACCCTTGACTTGGGAAGGAATGTGATTTGTGTAGATCCTCCACCCAAATCCAGGATCCCCACCGTCCTCCTTGTGTTGGAGTACAAGTGACCTGTAGGAAATTAGCACAAAGTTAAACTCATCACTCTGGAAGAAGGAAACTTCCTCATCGGCACAACAAACAGGACACACAGTGTGGTGTTGTGTCTTTATCTCCAATCTTAGTATTTGTTCCTTTGACAACCACCAGTGTCAGGATGATGCATGCTCACATATCGTCTGTGCCAACCACGAGGTAAAACACCTTATTGGTTTGTCGTGTAAAATACACAGCTGTAAGGAAAAAAAAATGTGTGTTTGTGACCTGTGTGGGGCGAATGATTCAAGCTCATAAACCTCAGACAGGAGACAAGAGTCTTTCACTGCCGGACCTCTGTGTACACTGCAGCCTCAGGTATGAGCCTCCAAACCACTAACACTGCCATAACGAAACACAAGCAATGTCTTACCTGTGAGGAAGTTCACTGTGACCCAGGCAAGGATTCCTGAAACGGCACATGGGTGGGAATTTGTGCATTAGTAAAAACCTGAGAAGTGATCACAGCTTGCACAAAAATAATGGGATGAGTTTTAGTCATATTCTCCTTCATTAGGCTGATGTTAAAAGTTACAGCGTCTGTCCATCAGCGTGTGGGCTCATGGACCAACCCAGATAATTATAATTGCCTCAGATGTCAAGTTATTGCACTCGTAAAATGAGGATAATGAACAGCACATAGTGTGTGATGAAACATAACACAGTGGGGGTGTCTTAATGAGTGATGTGGAGGATCACACTAAATTATTGGGCGTGGGACAACTCACGCCGGCATATTTATTTGTCTCAGTGAGGTGGTAACGGACCTCTTGTAAAAAGAATTACGAGAGGAGAGAACTGTTTGATACTTCTTCTTAAAGCACCTGATCAGACAATATCACCAAAGTCATACTTAAAGAAAAGAAAAATGTAGAATGCAAACTGGTACGAGGTCATTCAAAGAAAACGTACCTTCATTTGTTCCGTTCATGATGGAAACACTGTTGCTTGGCACAAAGAAAGGAGACTCGTCGAACACCTCTTGTACCTGCGGAAGACAAGTTGTCTCTTTTTACGATGATCTACTACAAAACAACTACACTTAACCACATAGCAAAATACAGCACTATTGTTAGGATGCATTCTATCCAGACTGTGGAAGACAAATTGTCGTTCAGATTGACAGATAGCTCAGCCACAAGCTCGGCTGGAACAGTAGCCTGGATTTAATACTTTAAATGACAAATATGGTTACTCCACACAACCCTATAACAGATGTTTTTTTGCAACATGATAGCCACCAAATGGGCAAAGACTCGCTGCCTTTTTTTGCAGTGTCACTTGTAAGCACTTAGTGGTTTCTCATCCTCGCTCCTTGGCGGGACGGGTGGTGTCTGTGCCAAACTGTCTGAGGGCAGAGGAGGGAAAAATAAAAAAAAATGTGCCTCACCTCCTTCAGAAGAGCCTTGGCCTTGTCTTCAGGCAGCATGCGCAGACCCGCCGTGGCCTTCAGCACCACCGGGGTCTTCCTCCACTCCTCCTCCGGGACCGTCTTCTTGGCGATCTTCAGCAGCTGACGGACGGTGTTGCCACCCTGAGGAAAAGATGGCAATCAGGTACAGGCGGCAAGACAAAAATCTCACTATCAAACAAAACATTTCATAACAAAACTAAGACATTTAACATTTAGTGATTAAGTCAGTACAGGAGTGGGCAGTAGTGACAGTATCATGAGGGGAGTCATTTTCTAATTACACCATGTTTACTTTACAGGAGCCCAACCCCAAGATGGGGTTTAGTGGTTTACAGACAGCGAACAACTCCCTAATATGATAATTACTAATAAGTGATGGTGCAAACACAGGTACATACCTCCTCAGGTTTGTCCTTATAGGCAGACAGTCCAGGCTTCACAGCATTGTACAGTTCATTGTCCAGAACTGGCAGCTCGACTAAAAAAAGAGAAATCAGGAGATGATCATAAACCAGAGGTCACAGTATAATAATCAGGGATGTGTAACTCGTGTAATTGCACAGTTTTTCTTCCTGATATTTAGACTGCAGCACCTACATCAAGTTTTAGAGGTTTGCTTCCTACACAGAGTCAGACACGGGCAAATTAAAGGTCTGTTTAGAAGCTGTAGTACCCTGTGCACTTTGCCAATGTCCTCACACCACACAGTGAATGACCTGGGCTGAGTGGGAGGCAGCAGCATGTGCATGAGCGGAGAGAGGGAGAGACACTCACTCAGACAGGGACAGAGAGAGAGAGGGTGCACTCACCGGGGTCTTTCTGGATGAACTTGTAGATGTGGATCCTGGTGCCTGTGCTCCCGGCGTCGAACATGATCCCGTAGAACACCCGGCTTTGGTTCACGGGGGAGGAGGCTTCGAGCATCGGCTGGTACACCTCGGGTCGGTGGTAGGGCTCGGGCGCGGGGTGCACGACCTCGGGCACCGGGTGGAAAGCCTCCGGTAACGGCGGGATGACCTCGGGCGCCGGGTGGAAGACCTCGGGGATGTGCGGGTACGTGGGCACGCCGGGCTGCGGGGCTGCGGGCGCCGGGTTGGCCACCTCGGGCAGGAGGTTCTCAGTGTTGGCGGAGTGCTCCCGGTAGCGGTAGAAGTGCGGGACGTAGCGGTGGTGCCGGTAGTAGGTCGCCTCCGCTGCGAGGATCCCGGCCAGGAGCCACGTGGATACAGCGAGGAGCAAGCTCGGCGTGGACATCACGTTTTTTTTTTTTTCCTCAGCCGGAGAGAGGAGAAGAAGAAGCAGAGGAGAAAGAGGAGGAGAAGCCTGGGTGGATGCTGGGGTGACAGGCCCTGCACAGAGAGAGGGAGCAGAGGAGATGGAGAGAGGCAGAGTAGATGCGATGCACACTCAGGACTGTCCGGTCATCTGTTTACACTATATAAAGACATAAGGGCCTGGCGTGGGGCCACACCGGGAGCAGCTATCCACCAATCCTGTGTGGGTCCATCCCAGCTCCATCAGCCGAGCCCCCTCCTGGGAGCTGGGCCGGAGCAGCACTACCTGCCCACCAGCACCAGAGGAGGAGGAGGAGGAGGAATAGAAGGAGGAGGAGGAGGAGGAGGATTATTTTGGGTTTTTACCCTCCTCATCTTCACTGTTTTACTCTGGAGCAAAGAAATCACTGCAGGAGAGGAGAGAGATGTTTATGAAGGAGTAGAAATGAATGGTTGACGGTGAAGAAATTCAAAAGAAATGCCCCTAAAATACAGTTTATGGGAGAATTTAAGACTTGTAGTGACTTGACTCCAACTTTCTGACAAGGACACCAATCCGGCTCCTGCTTAAATTAAATTGCTACTGCAGTTTTAAAACAGAAACCCAAATATGTTCTTCACTATAAACTTTTCCCATGTAAATGATGCTATTCAGATATTTTGGGACTTTGCATCAGAGGACATTTCAAAATAAAATCTGACAACGTGACTCATTCTTTATTGCTGGATTGCTTCATCCTACACCACCTCTACTGAATCATGTTCAGTAGCTTGAATGAATCATGCATGTATATATCTATATATAAAAAAAGAGTTCCCCGCCAACCTCCCCTGCATGATCCTGCAATAATCACCACATTAAATGCACTGCAGCAGTTTCACCAACTTTTAAAAAAATGCAAATGTGACCTGCACTCCAGCTGGCATAAAAGAGAAGAATGTTAGCAATCATCTCACTCCCACTCATCCCTGTGTTAACCACAGGCTTTCCAAGGGAAAAATAGTTGGGCAAGCGAGGCACGTTTCACGAGAGAATGCATGAAAAGCATGAGTGGCTGTTTCTCTGGTGGGTGGGTGGCACAGCATCATAAGCTCATGCTGTTGCATATCAGATCATGCTTACTTCAGAGTTATTGGCTGTGACTGATGCAGGATGCAGATGCATGAATCCTCAGAGACCCTGCATGAGCTGAGATTTGTACTGGGCTGTGATATTTGTATCAACAGCAAGATGACGGAGATGTGGAGCAGCAGGCCCTGGTAGTCTGAAGGATCAGTGAGGAACTGACCCTGCCCCAGCCCTGACTCTAACATGTGCTTACACCAGACTGCTTGACCTCGCACAGCGAGCGACCTGAGGCAGAAACCGAGATGTCAGTCAGTCAGCCCGGCCAGAGAGGGTAAGGGGAGGGCAGAGGTCCTACAGATGGGCACGACAGAGTGCAGGAAGTCCACAGAGAGGACAATGTGGGGAGGGTGGGGCTTGGCACCAGCATTCACCCATCATGCCAATCCACTCCCAGGACACTCGACAGTGCAAAGTACTGTTCCAACACTGTAATTTGGACTAAAAATATTGGACTTTCTTTCCTCCTTCCTTTTTTCTAAATACTGTGGCCATTTTTTTCAATCCTGTGGCTCACCAGAATGGTCGTTGGACCCTATCAAAGCGTACATGTGCAGGACCTCTCACTGGCTACAGGTCGTAGACATCTATGGGTTGCATGTTAACAGTGATAACATGACTAAGAAACATGAATAAAATAGCCTATTAGAAATAGTCCTGTTCACAGTGTGGTCAATTTTGAAATTGTTTTCTTGAAGTTAATATTCAGACACTCCCTGTGCTGAACGCAATAATTAAGATGGATAATGTTGAGTGTTTGGACAGCAGCACCTTAGGGCATTTGTTGCATGAGTCATGTTTTAGCTTTAAACTTACACCTACTTAATTATTCCATTTAAATATATTGTGATTGGATCTCCAAGTACAAGCTGATGCAAATGGAGTTTACAAAAAATTTACATTTTTTAAAACTCATTCTATAAAACTACATGTTACCAAATCGTGTTAGGGTGACATTAAAATATGTGCTGCTACTCACGAAATATCATATTTAAACTGTCCCTCTAAAACATGATGCAGCACATTACAAACACAATGTTTGAAACAAGAAGTAGTCGCAATACATGGTTTGGTATTTTGTTTCAAGTTAACTGAAACCGTAAAGCATGAGCAGGGACCCCAGCTTTGTAATCTCCACTGTGCAATATATCATTAATATGCTGCAATGTTGCCCTCAGGAATGCCATGTTTGTGGGTGTCCTGCCCCAAAAAGGCCATTGAAGAGACCTAAACCTTGTCATTACAATTCCAATGATAATGACAGCTTTGAAAAGCTCGGGGTTATTTCAGTTTTCTCTTCTCACTGTCATAGTAATTACCTTTAAATTTAGTCTTCAAACTCTGTTCATGATGCCAGTGTAGAGAGCGCCCCTATACGCTTCAGTTTACAGTAGCTACACCCAACACTTTTCCAATAGCGACTTTTGTGTTTGCGGAATAATGAAATAATCAACGCTGAGTGGACTCTGCTCCCCTGCAGTCAGCTGAACAAGATGACGGGAAGAATTCAGCAGCTTTGTGCTTAAATTACGACCTGTGCTTACTTTACATTGTTCCTGTTGGACGAGCTTCTTCGAAAATGTAAGCCAACTGCATCTACGTTGATCTTAGTGGTTTTCCCATAACTACAGCGAAAAACAAATGCGGGGATGGCAGCGACTAACACGCAGTTCTTTTCAGGACAACATGGACAATGCTGCTGACAGGGGCCAAACATATCTCATGTCATCATGTGGGAGGAGATCATGTGCAAACAGATCCTGTTTGATAGAGCCCAGCATGAGAAGGCTGTAATTACAAGACAAGAGACAAATACAGCCAATCTGTGTCAGTCCAGGGGTTGTTGAGCAGAACAGATCTGTATGTTATGAGTGGAGGATTGATTAAAACGCAAAACTGAAACCAAGCCTTTAAAAAAGCACAAGGTGACGAATAAATGCTAATAGTAATAATTGCTACTGTATGCACCCTCGATACATTGACTTGTGTTCACTTATCTGTTTCTTACTAAATAGTTGCTTAATTCTTTATATTTGCTTTGTAAATCTTTATAACAGGCACGATTTCATGTGCTTGCACAATAGAACATTTCTTGAAACTTGAATCCTAACAAAAAGGGTGTCTATTAAAACACTTGCATTATGCTGGTGGCAGGTTTCCGGGGCATGTTTTCTAAATTATGGTTGTAAACATTTTTGGTTCTCTAGTTTTTCGAATATAAGGATTTTCTGCTTGTCCGTGTTTCAAATCCTTGTAATTGACTTAAAAAATTTGGTGTTTTGTGGATTTTTGGTCGGACCACATCTCGCGCCTTGTTATATTTTATATACAGAATGCACCCTGTCCTCTCTCAATCTCGGCCCCTGTGTTTGACAAAACCCAAACCTCTAACAAGCTCGAGGTTGCCAATTGCGCGTATGCCCTCCTGTGTCTCTGGGCAACTTTTATTTCACCCACACCCTTTCAAATCCAGAAATGGCCTGGGGTTGATGCATTTAAATATCGTAGGCCCATGTAAACATTTTAAATGAGATCACCAAAAATTCTTTACTCACACAGACCCGAGCCTGATACGCTGGTTGTTAGGTTGCATAACTATAACATATAGAATTGGCAGGGGGGTGTTGGTGTGGCTGCACATGTGAAGTCATGTTTATGTGTTACTATTTAAAATGCTGTCTAATCTCGTAATAACTCTGTGGTACAGACCACCCTCAGCTGCCTGCAGGGTAAATACATTGACAGAATTACATGCTCAGTACAGTGACTCAGAAAAATAATGGTTCTCTGAGACTTAAGCTGACAAATGATTAAAAAAAAAAAAATATATATATATATATACATATATATATTTTATAACAAATTGTAATTTCTATCTCTATGGGGACTTAGATCTTTTAACAAGCTTTTGACAGATTGAAAGATGCACTGTTGAATTTGAAATTGCTCCCAAATATAATGGACAATGGTTTGAATATGGATTTGAATGGATTGGATGAAAAACTTGTGTTATAATTTCATACTGACACACTTGTCAGAAAGTTTTTACATAATAATCATATTTTTAAGAAAGAATTGCAGTTTTTCTTAGATATGCTCAGGAAATTTGAGGCCATCTTCACGTGTGTCCTGGGTCTCTTGTCTTCAGGAGCCTTTCAAGGGACTTTGAGGGGCCCAGGCAATAGGAACCTTGGGGGCCCTTCGTCAAATTAGTCCTTGCTATGGACTAACGTGATCAACGATTCTCAGGGGCCCCCTCTGAGATCAGGGCTCGAGGCAATTTCTTGCTTTGCCTACCCAGTTGTAACAACCCTGCCTCCACTCTAGTCGTATACATCCAGTTTATCAGCAGTGATAAAATAATTAAACATAAATATCAATAATCTGCCATAAATTAAATTCAACCACTGAACCATAAGGTTTCTTTTCATTTTTATTGTTGTTTGATTATTTGATCCTATTGTGAAGCGGCTTTGTTCAGAAAATTCTATAGAAAATCAAGCTTATTATTATTGTTACATTATTTTGATTATATTGAATTAATAATAATGGCAATAATAATAAAAATAGACGGACACATAACAAACACACTTGTACACAGATAAAGTTGTATGAATTATACAACAGGTTACCAAAGTTCCTGTGGCAGTGAAATGTGACCTTGTCATCGGCTCCGTCGTCTCCATAGCAACAGCACCACACAAACACTGGGAGCAGGATACAGGAGCTCACTGTTCTTCGTTGGCCAAACTTACCTGATAATTTAGCCGGTAAAAGCAGAAGAAATGCCGAAGAAGAAAGTTTCCAGAGTAAAAAAGGCAAAAGCAGGGTGAGTAAATATATTTATAATGGTGCACTGATGTTAAAACAGAAACTAAACTGATTTACTTTTGTCCCAGCAAGGGGAAGAAAGATGGCAAACAGGAGGTGAAGGCTGACAGGGAGTCTGAGATAGAGAAAGCTAAAACCAATGCCAACCTGTGGGAGCTGAGGTTAAAGGTCACAGACCAGTCGCTCAGGCAGTATCAAGAAGCCTGTGGCAAACTGGCACGCACCAACCAGGAGCTCACCAGCCAGCTGTACCGCGTGGAGAAGGACAGCATCGATATCAGTGGCTGTCTGCAGAGACAGGATGCTGCTAAAGAGGAGACGGTAGGACAGTTACATATAAACAAGGAATTTCGACTTCTATGACTTATTCCAATATCTGTTTTAAACAATAGATCAAGTTATTGTACCTTTCTGTGATCCTTAAGATGTTTGCTAACCACACCAGAAGAAGGATGGAGATACTCAGAGGAGAGATGACACAGCTTCATTTCTTTTGAAAAAGAGAATTCTGCCTGAATAGCATAATCTTGGACAAGTCACTTTGTAATCTGGGACACTTAAAAAAGCCAAAATCACTTTGCTCTGTGCTCACATTATGAAAATAACATGTAAAACTAATTTATTTCATAAAGAACCCTAGTCTAAATAGTATGAATATATTATATCATAAATATATATATATATATAAATATATATTTATATATATATAAATATAAACCTTAATCCAGGTTTGTAGAAAAGAAAAGAAAATAAAAAATTTGATCATACATTTGTTGAATTTACATTATAAAAAATTGGGGAGGACTTAAAAAAACCTTTGTTATATGAATTTTGAAAATGAGCTGATTTTAAAAGTTTCAATTGACTCATAAGTGATGACGCCAGCAACTATTGCACCAAACTTTTTGCAGACTTTTAGAGTTATTGCTCCAACTTGAGATGGCGTTCAAATGAATTTTCCTAATCAGAAACCCATTTTTCTGATAATTCCGACACCACATAAATGCACAATTAATTAGTTAATTAGTAAAGGTGTAACTGTGACAGTGAGTGATGGGCTCAGACGTTCAAAATGTGTTTTTATTCTCTTTTGTCTCTGCAGATCAGTTTGCTGCAGAAAAGCCTCAAAAGTCAAGAGGCCCATGCACGTGAGGAGCAAAACAAACTGGTGAGTTCATTTTAAAACACAGCCACAAGAGAAGAAATTCACCCCAAGTTTCATTTTGGTCCCAAAAAACATGCCCCATCCAGTGCATTCATAGCGATTATTAATAGATCGTATTATTGCCGTGATTTAAAACCTGCAGCACGTGAAAAATGTGCTGCGCTGTGTTTTAACAGCTGTCCTGTGTGTAATTATGTTCATATCTTATTATGTAAGAAAACAACAACCAAACAAAGTGACCATAACACAGAAAAAACAAGCCCTCACATGCCCTGGTACACGGTCAAACGTTATTTTGATCCATGTCAGAGCCCACAAAAAAACAGCATAATTGAAAAGCGCTTGGTTGAAAGGCAGTCACCCTGCTGGTCTTGATGTGTTAACCATAACTACCTCACATGACGCACACACCCTGACTCTGATACACCACTTGACATTACACCAGAGACACTTATTTTGACTCTTTCTATCCTCGCTGACCACCATATCAAGCTATCACACTGACACGACACAATTCAAGTGGCTTTACGCGACAAAAAAGATACAAAAAAACCCTTTTCTTTGCTCGCAGCTGTTTTCAATCCTGCAGCTCTTACTTCATGCTGGTAAAATAAGAGTCCCAACGAGTGTCTGATGAAGAAATAAGAGGCCTGGGCTGGACCAACTTGAAACATCCCTATTTTAGACATGTATGGAACTGTCACATGTGTCCTCTTGAGGGGGAAAACACAAACTGTCCTGTGGTCAACTTCAGAGACGTGAGTTCAAGACATGACGAGCTGTTGGCGGCCGTTCTCTCATTGTGAGGTGATAAAATCATCTTGAAAGTGGTCTTTAGCTAATGGAAATCACTCCATCAGAGGCACTCAGGGAACGTGGAGGCGTCTGTCTAAGGAGAGACATGATGAAGCTCTGAGGATATTTAGTCACCCAACTAATTATTATTCTATCAAGACTTTTCCAAATGCAGTTACCGTGTAGCAAGAGGACAAGGAGGACGTTGTTGCTTTCAAATGGTGGACGTTTTTTAAGGTCACGATTTGACAGGTCACAGAGAATGATGTAAACCAGTTTGTGTAAATACTGCAGCCTGTTGCATCAATGTCGATGAACTTATCTGAAGAATAACGATTAGGCCTACGGTTATAATCAGATGGTTGATAACCTCTCATTTAGTAGTCATGTTCGTGTCTGTGGGTGAGTGTTTTGCTGACTCTCTCCTGATTTTGGTTACTTTGTCACATTTCAGCTCAGACTGGCTTCTCCACAGTAGCATCTTGAGGCATTTAGCCTCACTGATCTGTACTTAAGCTGTTTTAAAAAAGGATTATGGCCAGTGTGAACTTTTGACCCAATGTCTTCTTCCCTGTAACTGATACAAACTGAATTTATGAGCAATGAAGCAGCAGCTGTTTGTTGGTTTGTTTCGGAACCAATTTCCGCCAAATGTGGTTGCGGGACGGGCCGTGGGTCTCGGAGGAAGCAAACATGGAGCCAACCGGCTAATGTCTGATAATGAATTAGCCTCTGGGGGCAATCGCCAATATTTTGGGGCTTCTGGTGTAGCATTTGAATGCAGATAAATTTAAAAGCTGATTAAGTCCACATGGACAGTTTCCTTGTGGGCAACTGAAGCCTGTTTAATCTGTTTATATTAGTCAAGACGGCATTAAAGTTTGGTGTGGATGCAGATTGAGCGTTTTTTTCATTTCACTTTCTTTGTCTTTAAATTGTTCCACAACTGTTGTTTATTATTGTTAAACTATAGCCTTTCTAGTTGCCCTGTATTGTC